AAATTGTTCCATTATGTTATAACTTTGAGAAATTTATAGTTGAAGTTAAGAAAGGCTATTTTATCATATTATATAATAACTACAATACATGACGTGCTAGAGAAATTTTATTACAAAATTAAATACATTGTGAGGACTTTTAGTCTTTAACAGGAATGTTTTGCTATGGTTAATAAGATATTCATTATTAAATATAAGATATAAAAAAGCTGTTTAAATTAGATTATGATTTACCAGATAGTTTTCAATATTATATTTATTTAAATTTAAGAGTTTTTTTCATCGTCGAGTACGAATCTGATGTCAAAATTGACAAATTTAAAATGGTGAATTCAATATGGAAAGATTCAGACATTTTTTAAGTTTGACATCCGCCAAATTAAAAGTCCTAGTAAATATAATATTTGATTGCAATAAAATTTCTCCTGTACGTCACCTCATATTATATAATTATATAGTTATAATATAACAAAATACGTGAAAACAACCCATTTTTGCATCAAATTTCTCGAAACTGTAATGGAGCAATATGGAATCCGGATTCGGCCAAAAAACTGGAATTGAAACTGCGAAAAAACGGGAAATGAAACTACGGGAACTGATTATTATTTTATTCTGGTATTTGAAGAAAAAATCATTTTTTTGTTAAGTAATATAATTCTTCTTCAATTTAACAACAATTGTTCATCAATATCAACAATCACAAATTATGTAATTTAGTTATCGTTATTCATGCTGATGAAATGAAACGTAAGAAAATTAATTTGTTCAAATAAGATATGAAAGGATAAGCGATCGTATATTTTCAGACAAGAAATATATATTACTACAGGCATCAGTACATCTGTCTTTTCTCGCACTCCACCGAATACTCCACGTTGTCGTACGACAAATCGGACACTCCGCCCGCTCGATCATGGTGACAAGGATAGAGAGGGGATGAAATCTAGCGATTCGGTTGTTTGTTCTTTTAGCGCGACAGCTACGGTGGGCTAAAACGGCGTGGCGTATTTTCGGCATAAACTTCATGCTGTATGCCGGGACACGCAATATGCTAATAATTTGGGCCGCCGTTCCGGTGATCTTATGTCATCGACGTCGTTGTTGAAATCGAAATGAGGTTAACGAGACCCGAGACAACGTAATGTTGTTAAAGTGGACATATATTTGTTTAGAATATTACCAGGACAATATTTAACTCTGTCCTTTTTTTTTGGAGAGAGAAAAAAAGTTGAAATTGGAAATTTGTAAAATTAAAGAAATTTGTAAAACTAAGTTATAGTTAAGTTTGTGAAAAGATTTTGTAAATTACAGTAAAAAATTTCAGATCATTAATTTCGATGATAAATCAGTTTATACAAATCCATATCAGAATAATAGGTCACAGAATTAATCAATGACGAAATATATATATCGTTCACGAGAAGAGTTTATGAAAAGATATATAAACGTACAGTTATTTATATTAATTTTGTATACAAATTTGTGTTTTCTCGAATTCATTAATTAAGTATACATAAATAAAAATTTGTTTTTGAAAATATTGCACTGAGAGAAAAC